TTTTATAATATGATGAATTAATGTTCAAATTTACATTGAGAAAACCGCTCATATTTAGTATTTAATTGTACCTTAAATAAAATTGCTTCAAATGAGAGTATACCTAAAAGCAAAAAAAAAAAAAAATCAATTCCTCCCCAATTCAAAGAAAAAAGAAAGAAAGAAAGAAAGTATCACAACCAAAATTTAATTTTCAGATGAATCATAAAAGACAAATTATTTGTTGCTAAATGAGTTGGCGTTTTTTGAGAAACAAATGCTGAATATGCAGTGAGTAGATTGAATACTTTTGTAATCAAGTGCAAATAACAACAAAATAAGGAAAAGAGACATGGAGATTCAGATATGTAAGCCCCAAGTAAAGCTCAGGAACATCTATATATTGTCATGAATGGGCTTAATAACAAAGATATTCACGTTGAATACAGAAATTATAAGATTCTTTTCTTTTGCTTTAATAACAGCATGGATGTGTCACAAAACTTCAGTGAAATTAATTATATATACATCGAACATCAAATGTTCAGAACAGGAAGACAACGCACGTGAAGCACTTATTTGATCTTCATGATTCAAATGTTCTTTGACATGATCTTTATGAAATACATGTTCAAGGCACAGTTGTATATTAAATTATATGGACACATCTCCTAGTGAAGGAATTTGAACTTTGATTTACTACATTGTAAAAGATTAGTTCTTTTTGTTAAATTTAATTCACATTCATTCTTTTTAACCAAGACTACATCCCAAATGCTTCTGAGTAGATGCCCGTGCAAGGCAAAATGACACTATGATTCTACTTAACACTATCACCAAAAAGTTCTATCTGAGTGCCCATTCCGAAGTGCTTATAAAAAAAAAAAAAAAAAGCTCCAAAGAAAGCATGCAAAAATACTGAAGCGCTTCTTTGTGTAAGTGCCCCAAAGAACTTTTGGGAGCGCTTGACATACTCCGTTTATGGGAATGTTCTCTCTCCAAAGAGCCACCGTAGGGCATTTCTACAGGAGCATGTTCTTTAAAAAGCAGTACTGTAGCTATTTTATAATTTATAAAATTTTAAAATTTAGAATCTTATTGGAGCGCTTGTCCAAGAAGTGCTCCTGTAGACAAGAAATAGATTCTATCAGAATTTGTTCAAGTAGTGATTAAGCCACATGATAACATTTTAAGTCTCAATTTTTTTTTATTTACATATGTGAAAAAAATGAATCCACAAAAATGTCCACGCAGACGGGGCAATGAAATATTTTAATTTTGAAATCCAGAAATTAGTTGTTAATATTTTTTATCTTTATTATATAATAGTTAGTATATGATTATAACAAGGATATTCATGAATACAGAAGCTATAATAAGATTAATTTCTTTGGCTTTATTAAAAAAAATACTAGTCGACTTGTATTGCACATTATTGTGATTGAGATTATAATGATATATTTCACAGTGATACAAATATTATCCGTATTATTTTGACCCAGTATTTCGTGAAAACTTAACAAACAATTGGTACGTACAGTGTAACTCTAATCATGCCAAAAAAGGAATAAGAAAATACACAGTTAACCACCAAAACAATGTGTGTCATATAAAATGAAGGAAAACTCAAGAAAATCATATTTGAGAATGCGAAGATCCGAAATCATATTAATACAGAAGACTCATAATATTCAAGGTGATTGCTAAATAAAAGGATCATACCTCTCCTTGGAAAAATCATAAGGGTCAACAAAGCAAATGTAGGCAGATTTAACAACTTTAAAACCAAATAGAAATGGCAAAAGTCACTGCTAGGAAAAAATCGTAGCCCGAGGGGATGAAAACGATTAAATAGCAAACAGGTTCTGAGTTCAATGGTTTCAAATTCAGACAGATTTGTAACAGAGCAAGCTCATATAATCACCAGCCAAAGAAAATATCGGAGAAGAACTGGCGAAGGACCCACCTGGACGCTAGAGCAAGAACGGTGTGAAGATTGAAGCTCAACTCGTGCAGAAACAGCATCCAGAAGCGAGGACGAAAGGTAAACTTGAGATTTCAGATTGGAGCAGCACGACAGAAGATTGGTGGAGGGAGGAGGCGGTGGTGCGCCCAAGCGAAAAGGAGAGCAAGAGTGGCATAGTGGGAGATGCAAGCGTAAAGAAGGAATGAGAGAGTGCGAGGGCTTGGGGCAAAATAGTTCTGAAGTTTGAAAAACATATCTACGCCACTTATAAATAATATTTAATATAAATATTATTAAAAAATAAATTTTTTTTAAAAAATTAAAATATATAACAATCCATGTAGATATATTAAAATTAATTTTTAAAAAAATTAGAATATATAACTATATCGATCATGTATTGTAACTGATGTAGATATTAATACATCTATACTGGTTATGTAAGGAACCAATGTATATAACATTACATTCACTTATTTATTTATAAAAATACCACTGCTTCCTAATTCTACACTGTATGCATGTGAACTGGTGTAGACATGGGTGTAGAAAGACCATTTTGTACTAGTGCAAACATACATTCTTTATGCTTTAATTAAAGAAACTCTACTATGATATTTTAATACATTTGAAATAGAATTGAAATTTATTACAACATTTTTATATAAATAAACAATTTTGTAGACTTTTTGTATAAAAAAATCGGCAAAACCTCCCCTCTCAATAAAGCTTCTCAAAAAAACAATATACAATCATTTTACAAAACAATAGCAGTAGTAAGGGACTCTATTTCCATAAGCAAATAACACAAATATAAATAATAAGAATGAGGACCTTAACTACAGCTTATATGAAACATTTGACAATAGTCAGAGAAACGTAGAACATAATATATGGATTTAAGTTTACATTAAAGGAAGTTTGATATACAATTCTTCACTTTAATTAAATACTACAGCCCATCAATGGTCAACGAAAGGTACAACATCAACTAATGTATTTGAGATCAAAATAATTTCTAGCAAATAACGTCCCAACATTTATGAAGTTTAAAGGATAAAATGAATAAATAACAATGATTATAAAAATTAAAGAGACAACAACTTCATATAAAATATTTCATAAACTTTGGAATTAAGAAATTCTATATAGCCATAAATAAAATCTTAACCATTAAATTTATAATATCAAATATTTTTATCACTTAATCTCAAGAAGACAAATAAATGGAATAAATAAATATAATAACATCACTAATTAAAACCAATGCAATCTAAATTCACTAAATAATCAAAACTCATGTTTCTAGGGACTTATCAAAACAATTAACAAATGTGGACACATAATTCACGAAAGTAATTAACTAAATGCAGCTTATGCCATAAAGACAAAGGTGGACACACTATCCACGAGGGTAAGTAATCAAATGCGACCTGAGTTATGAAAATATATGTAAACACACAATCCACGAAAGTAACACTAACTAAATGTAGCCGAAACCATGAAATCAAATGTAGGTAAGAGACCCATGAATAACAAACATGAGACCAGAGCTCAAGAAAATTAAACTAGCTAGTCATTGACCATAGTGTGCCAAGGGTTAACGAAACTGCTATTAACAACTAATATTCTATGTAAAGTCCCTTCAAAATTAATTTTCAAATATGTAAGAAAAAAATCACTTTTGAAAATATAAATTTCTCTTTTTAGTATTAAACTCGCATTAGTCAATTAAAATAATCAATCTTCCAATTATGAAAATTGATAATCAATATTTCAAAAACTCTTTTACCAATTTCCATGATTGTTTTTATTAAATAAAGAATTAATAAAATTTCTAAAAACAGTTTCATCAATCTTGCAAGTGTATGGTATGATTTCAAGAAATAGAGTTGTTTAATCAAAAAAAAGTGCACAATGTTATAGAAATATATATATATATATATATATATAATTTTGAATTTTTGAAAGTAATGTTTTTATAAAAAGAAAATTTTTTAATAAATTATTTGGTTCGTTGTCCACTTATCTACAATGCTTCTAATCCTAAATTTTCCTCGTTTAAACTCCAATCAAGTTTCTCTTCCTCCAAAACATCTAATATAGATGATGAACGAAGGGAACAGCTTGTAGCTTCTTCACACTGAATTCGCGACTGCAAGACAAAGAAAGAAGGGAATACAGCCACACAAAAATGAAGAAGGAAGGAGAATCGATGGAGGAAATAAAGAACAGAGGAGCTGTGTTCACTGTCAAAAATGCTGCAAGCCTGCAACAGTAGCAGACTCCGGACACGGCGACGATGCAAAACATGCAGAGGTCTATCGACGTTGCTTCTCAAAGAGAAAAGAGAAGACCTGGCTGCGAAACAGGGGAAGGAGGAGAACGCTCAGCATCTGTTGCACGAAGAGAGGAATGATGAAAAACTTACGGGTGAAGCAGAGCAGCGACGGTCACGCAGATACACACGCCCACGCCGGGGGTGAGTTACAAACCAAGGAGGGCAGCAGAGGACAGAGATTAGACGCTCCTGGATTCTCCAAGACTCTCTTGCTCTCTCAATGAACACGAAAAAAAGGAACCGAATTGAGGAAGGAGAGAAAAAAATAAAGAGCAAAAAAATATTCCGGTGGTATTGGGGCAAAATGATAATTTTATAAAGGCTGAAGCATGAAAATAATGCACAGCTACAAGGATTCGAAAACTAGATCTCTTTAAATGCACAGCAGCAATAGTTTCCACTAAGCGAACAATTCATCTTGTTAAATCCACACCGAAAAACAATACAAGCACATTTAAATTATATAACTATAAATTTTAATTTAACTTAAATTTTTTTGGGTCGTTACAGCTTTCCAATACATCCAGCAATTTGTAAGCCCTCCAGGTAAGAGATTATTAGACATGTCCAGGTACCTTAATGTGCTTCTGGCATTCATCTTTTGACACAATAATGAAGAAATAGATCCTTGAAAGGAGTTATTTCTTACGCTGAATGTGAGAACATTTGGTGATAAATGAGGGAGGTTGCCTTTAAATTTATTATAACTCAAATTTATGTATGAGGAGTCAGTAACACATCAGACATTTCCCAATCAATTGTAATATTTTGTGAACATAAGCATCCAAACTGTGTTGCAAAATTCCAAAAGTTATCTTGAGACTGAAATGAAATACTTGAGGAGACAATTATTAACACTCTAAGAGATTTTTGTGTATATATCCATTCAGGAAATATGGAATCCACCATGTGCAGCAAATGTAACTCTATCAGCTGAAAAGGAGGAACCCACAACAAATCAAAGTCAAAGATTAAGCTTGGAGATCCCATACCAAGAACTTTCAAATTATAGAGTCTGACAAAATTTCTTTCAGATACATGCCCCATCAAGTGATTATCATGAAAAGATAACATCTCCAAGTTCAAGAGCTGTCCAAGACTTTCTGGAAGACTACCATTTACGTTATTTGAATTGAGATTCAAAGTAATCAAGGATGATAGATTTCCCAAACCAGGAGGAATAGGGCTAGAAAGTAAATTCTCACTAACATCAAACACTTGCAGGTGTTCAAGCTGGCCTAACCAAGCTGGAATTGGTCCACTCAATTTATTGCCATGCAAATCCAAGCTTTTTAATTTTTGAAGATTCAACAGTCTCTTTGGTAGTTCGCCATGAAAATAATTATAGCTCAGGTTGACAGAGGTGATGACATCACTAAGATTGAATAACCAGTTTGGAAAGAATTCAGAGTTAAAAGCATTACCCGAAAGGCTAAGAACTTCAAGTGAAGTAAAATTTACATACTGGAGAGATGGATTTATGCTTTGAAGTTGGCAACTATCCAGGCGCAATTCTGAAAGGGAAGGAAGTGAAGTTGCTATTTGAAGCCAATCAACTTTCCCATGAAGATTAATGCCTCTAAAGTTGATGTATTTCAAGGAGGAAAAATTATAAATCCAATGAAGACTATCAATGAAAAGATCTTCATTATATGATAACTCAAGGTAATAATAAAGATTAGAAGAATTTTGATCATGCGAAGGAACATAATCATGTTGGATGATCGCTTGGAAGTCATGATTGCTCAGATCAAGACAGATTAAAAACTTGGAGCAATAGTAGATAGAATTCACCTGTGAGACAATGATATTTCTTCTCTTCACAATCATAATCATGGGCTTCTAGAGAACAAGGTAGACTGAGTTTGATAACCCTACCTGTGGCGTTGTCACACTGAATTCCAACCCACTCACAACAATCTCTGCAATCATCTGACCAACTAGAGAGGATGGATGATGGATCATCAACTGTGTGTTTGAAGTTTAGGAGGACATGGCGATCTCTTTCATGACACTGTTCTCTCAAACTATGCGTGCCTTTGTGGAATATGATTGCAGATGTTGGTACCAATAGAAGCAAAAGATTGAAGATATGGGAGAGGAATGAGGCATCCATGATAACTCAAGACATGGTTTGCTATGAACTGTGTGAGGGGATTGCCACCACCGTCGACTTGGTAAAAATTTGATAGCATATCCTAACACAGAGAGAGTATTCTATGGAATTAAATGCTTATGTTTATGACGTAAACCATGACACAAGTAGCGTAGAATTGGTTTGCAGTAGGACCTTTGGTGACGCATGACAAAGGATTTTTTGAAGAGTATCATTAATAAACATTGTGACATCAGTAGAATTTTGAAAGCAGGTAGTCGTTCCATCACTAAATGTCAACAATTACACAGACGATAGCTTTCCATTCTTTAATAATTTTGACGTTTTTGCTTCAATAATCTAACTGCGATTAACGTTAACTATGGTTAAGCTGAATTGTGTCCAAAGTTAATTAGCTGAGGTTTTAAGTCATTCTTGGTTCAAAATATAAAACACTGAGTCATTTTTATAATTATTTTTCCAACAACACCCATTATCATTTATTATTCTTTTCAAAAAATCAATGCATTAAAATTTCAATTATTATTATAAGGTTCTTAAACAGGATTTTTAACATAATGAGAGTATAATTAGAAAAATATAAAAAATTTTAGGAGATTAAAGTTTTAACTAACTATTTTTAGAACAATAAAGTAGTTATACCAATAAAGTTTTAACTAACTATTTTTAGAACAATATAACAGTTATGCCAATAAAGTTTTAACTAACTATTGTAATACTTCATTCATCTCAATTTATAAAATATGTTTTGACAAATCACATATATAATAAATTTTATTACATACAATAATATTAATTTTTTATAAACTTTTAAAATATCATTTATTATTAAGAAATAGAAAGAAATTTATTTAAAAAGTGAAATAATGAGAAGTAATATTAGAATGATCATCATTAATGAAATCTTTTTTAAAAAATATTTTATATTTTGGAATGTTAAATCATTTCAAAAAACATTTTACAAAATGAGATGGAGATAGTGGCAACTAGCAAATAACTTATTAAAAATACAGAATTATTTATTTTATGATAATTGCTTAAATCAACGGTCAAAATCCTCTTTCCTGATAACAATTTCATAATCAAAGTCGCTCAATTGAATATGAAGGTCCAGTTTTCACATTCGCGTCTCGTCCTTAAAATATATTCAAATTAAACTTTTGACCCTTATGTTTTGGTTTTCATTTTCAACTAATCACATGTTCTTAAATGAAATCCAAACAAACAAATCCATTCTCGCATTTAATATCCTTATTAAAAGAGGGAGCATTTTTTAAAAAAATAAACAAGTTTTTACATTATAATACTCCAATGGTCTCACTTTATAAATATGTTTTTGGCAAAATCACATATATGAATAAATTTTATTATATATAATTTATCATATTAATTTTTCTATAAACTTTTAAAAATATCATTTATTAATAGAAAAGAGTGAAAGAAACTTATTTAAGAAATGAAATAATGAGAAGTAATATTGGAATAGTCAAAGTTAATGAAATACTTTTTAAAAAATATCTTACATTTTGGAGTATCAAATTACTTTAAAAAATGTTTTACAAAATGAGACGGAGATAGTAGCAAATAATCCACTTATTAAAAATACAACATGATTCATTCTATGATAATTGCTTAAGTCAACAGTCAAGGTCTTATTTCCCAATAACAATATCATGGTCAAAGTCGTTCAATTGAACATGAAGGTCAAGTTTTCACATTCGCGTCTCATCCTTAAAATAAATCCAAATTAAACTTTCTGACCCTTATGTTTTGGTTTTCATTTTCAACTGATTACATGTTCTCAAATGAAATTCTTTTTGGTGGGCACAAAATTTGAGTTTCTTGCAGTAATGAGGTGCGGGGACCCAGGTCTTAGTAGTCTTACTAATTATTCCATCTGTTTTTATGAACAGATTGTGAATACTAATTAATATTAATAAATGCAATTAGAAACTTAAAAATATAGATATAGAATTTTTAATATTGGGATACAATTGAGCCATGTTGAGTTTATAATGTCCGCAAATCTTTCAAGTAAAATTGAGGGATAAAAATAATCATTAAACCAAATTTATAAGATACATTTGTGGAAGATTTGATGTTAAAAAATATAAGATACTTTCACAAAAATAAAATTTCATTAATAATGTTTTTTTAATATTGTCATTCCCATTATATTTTTTTTCTCTCTTTAATATTCTTTTAGTGGCCGTGGCTCCCAAGTTTTTTAAATTTTTTTAATATTATATAAATGTTACATGTTTTTAGCTTCTCAAAATTTATAAAAGTTTTGTGTATATGTTTTTTAACACTAGCCCTCTTATTGTTAAATCTTTGCTTCGCTCAGTCTTTTACAATGATGATTACATATATTTTTTTTGGATCACAATACAAAGTATTTTTTAGAAGCCTCTCTTGATCTAAAATATAGGATATTTGATAGGCTATATATATATATATATATATATTCCAATTATATAGTACTATTATATTCTACTCAAGTAATTAATAAGGATATTTTAAATAATTAAATGTTATATTTATTCTATTTAAGGGCACAGTTGAAAAGATGTGATTTTTTCTTAAAAAAAAAAAAGACCATGGCTTTGAGTAGGGAGTAAAAAATTTTTATTAATTTTTTCAGTACTCATCTTCCAAATTTTCAATAGTTATGTTTAGTATTTTTAGTAGTCACTCATATGTTTTTGTTCGCCCTCCCTCTTCATTAAGGATAACCCCCAAGTGTCCTTGGTGGAGTGGAGAGTGGGACCCTCTTGAGTCCATTTACTTAGATAGGAATACATGGCAATACACCATCCCCATACCTTTCCACTGATCAAATTCCCAAGGGCTTGGTGAAAGACACACTCCTGGGGTTTGATCTCACAACCTCTCTTACTTAACGAAGAAGTGGGTAACATTAGTATCACATTTGGGGGATTTTACCCTTGATGAAGGGGGAGGGCAAATAGTTTTCAATAGTTATCTTTCATGTTTTCAATACTAAAAGCACTCATCTTTAACTCTTTTCAATACTGAAACCAAAGAAGAATGTATTGAAAACATCTAAGATGATTACTAAAAATATGAAAGATCAGTAAGCGTATTGAAAAAAATTATTTCCTTTGAACTACAATATAATGCATCTTCTAAAAGTCAAGCTTGGTCCAAAATATAGGGCATTTGATAGTTTTTATATTTGTTTTTCCAACTATACCCATACATAATTAATTACTCTTTAAAAAATTTGATGCTTTGTGAAACATTCTCACTCCACTAATCATAATTTCCCAATATAACTCCTGGTAATTCTAGACTTAATTCGAAAGGGTGATTACCAAGGTTTAATTTAAAAACAAGGGATCTCAGGTTTTCTAAATAAAAATGAGTTTGAATCAATCAAAATCTTTCATATCAAAGTAAAAATAAGTCATGGAAACATGAGATACCTCAGAGGAGTGAAGGAAGTTGAAAATGGTTGAAAAACAAAACATGTACTGTGATACACGATAATGAGCTGCAGCTCGTGCACGATGTGTCATAGTGTGTTGCTCTCTGTGGTAAGCACCACGGCTCAGGCACAATGTGCCGTGGCATGTTGCTCGAAATTTCTATTAATTCTGCTATCAAATGACAGTAGAATTAAGAAACTTTTGACTCGCCTCGATTCTCCGTCTGATGTCTGAATGATGTGATCTACGTGCCTACGGAAAGCTCTTTACATGAACTAGCTAATGACATAGGTTTCACTTTCAAAACATGTCACACTAGGAAGTTGGACACCCAAACACTTTTTAATACTTTTACACAAAATGGATATCCAAAACCCTCAACAAGTACTAAAAGCTTTTCCTAACACCTAGACCATACCCAATGGACTTAGGACTACCAGTACAACACGTCACACACACCAAAACATCAGTATAACAAAAATTCACTCCTCAACCCCGTTTTATCGAAAACAAAGGGGGAGGTAATTTGTCATTGCATCTCGCCCAAATTGTTCAAAACATGTTCAAATCATTATTTCTACACTTACACTAGTATTTTGGCACTATAGACACACACACACACACATCAACATACACAAAGATTGAGGGCCTAAAATATAAATCGAATATTTCCAACAATAAATTAGTACAAGTGTGGTTGCATGCATCCTAGAATTGGTAAATCATATGCTATTACACAATTAAATCTAAACTAGAGGCATACATTAGGAATATGTTAATTCCTCACCTCTTTAGCCTTCTCCCTCTCAGCACTAAAGTTAGAGACTGAAAAATATTAAATGAAAGGGATGAGTCTAGCCACTTAGTAACCAAGATTAAAACTACCATATATAATTATATATCAATTATAAACCAAATACATGCACGAGGAAATCAAATATATAAAACATGCTGGCATATATCATATTTCATCATTTATCATTAAATAACTTCTTTAACTCTCATAACTAGGTGCATTATCACCATATTCTCAAATATGTGACATGACCCATACTTATGCAACTTGTCACAACTTTTCACTTGTGACACATCATATATTTACTTAGGAAATCATCAACCAACCTTATATCCTCCTTATTTTTTCAGACAGAAACCGTGGGCTATAACACTGATTTGGGCTCCGTCTGTGTGACTGGACTACCCAAGCTTACTAATCGTGAGGTGTAACCCGGCCAAAGATCACAAGACTCACTCTCGAACCACAGCTTCCCCCATTCTTGAATCCCTAGGGTATCTCATACCCTAGGCTATTCTCCTCATTGAACCGGTGGAGATAGCTAAGTTCTAGTTTCTCGACAAATTATGGGACAGTCCCTCAACAAACTGTGGGATAAGGCTATACCCTTGTGCACCGGAGGGCAGTCAAAATACCATATAAATTTTTCTTTACTCCCAATCCCTAGGTGAACTCCCGCTACTAATCATGCCATAATCAATACTCACTCATTTTTACTTTTTCGCTTTCATATACTCATTATCACAACAATT